ATGCATAACGTGCCTAACATTTTAACTTTCTTCAGTTGTTACATTGTAGAAATAATTAGCTAGCTATGACTGACAACTGTCCTAAAAATTTTAAATTAAAATTGAAGACAAATATGAAAGCAAACTTCAAAATGAAACTAAGTAAAATAAAACCGGTCCACATACGCAGATATCAGATTAGAAGAAACATATGTTATGAATATCGCCAAATAAAGTATGAGAAAATGGCGTAGGGAAACGCAATTTCCAAAGGCGAGAAAAAATTCCATTTTCCTGCCGTTTCTTCGCCTCTTCCTTGACTCTGGTGCGAAGGGTTCGCGTTACGTGAGAGGAAAGTGTTCGACCGTGAAAAAGCGGTGGTACGCGTGGGTCCCCTATGCTCGTACACGGCGCGTGTCCAAAGACAAACGTTGGGGTGGTTCGCGCTGAAAGAACGCAGAAACGGTGGTAAAACGTGCAGAAAGGCGAGAATAGGGCCGATAGCGAGACTGGCAAAAGGGGAACGCGAATGAAAATGCGTTGTCACGCGCAGAATTCAGACACGGTGCCAAATCCCTGAACGGTCCGCGAGGGACAGCAGGATTCTAGGCGGGTTCTTTGCTCGGATTTATTTGGCAACTGCTCGTTAGTATCGAGATTGCGGCTCGTTTTCATCGCCTATTTTATACCCGGAATACAATTCCGTCCTTTGATTCTTTCCTCTGAAAAATACGGAACTTTTGAAGACCGTAAGTTTGTCGGAATTAAATTGAGCGTAGCGATTTGTGCGATATATAGGCGACAATTTCAAAGGAAGAGCAAGGTACAGAATTCCTTCGGAACACGGTGTAATCCATTTTGTTTATCGCGCTAGTTCGCCAAGTTTCGGCTAATCTCTTAACGCGTACAGCTGTTGCTAAACTTGGTAATCAAGCAACTCACCGTGTATGTACAACCTTTCGCTTTGAGGATTCGAAAGTTCACCGAATTAATAATATAGGTTGCGCAGAAATTTAGCAAGGCATTTAGTGATCGAAAAAATGGATCGGATGCTGCCAAGCAAATATGTAATTCTACGAGCGTATATATACGGCGAAGTAAGGCCGACTTTGGAACGTCCGTGGAATTTATTTATGAAAAATGTATATACCGAGAACGAGCGCTCTGCGACCGGGTGCCGATGCAATAATATACCGTACACCTTCCACTGGGGAAACGAACACCGTACGAGAGAAGCGATGAGAGCAGAAGAGAGGCTAGCCAGCCAAACAGATAGACGGAAACGGCGAGTAAAAGAGATAGAGAGGGAAAAAGGGATCACGGTATGACCTACATTTGGCCTACGGGTCGCAGGGTAGAGCTATCGATTCAGTTCTCTCTTAAACACAGCCTCCTACGTTTCATTTCGTTCCAACTCTCCGACCATTTTGCGATTACCGTTCTTCTCGCCACTCTTCCTTGTCCTTTTTTACACAGTTTATATATCGGGAGAATCGTATAGCTCGAAGCTCTTACGGATACAGCGTAAATCAGAGCTGTTTGGCAAATCCAGATATTTCGTTGAATAGGTGAACTACTATTGCATCTTACGTTAATAGAATACGTCGGTGAAGTTTACGTTTTTCTTTCAATTATTATCGTTGAAATTTTTTCCTTCAATTTCCAGAAGAAAATCGTTACGCCGGAGAATAAAAGTAAACGAAAAATGTTGTAACGAGCCGTATCGAAAAGGGGATCGTCATTGGTCGACCGAACGAACTCAAAAATGGCGAAAATAAACGGCGTTAACGATCGGGCAAAGACCGTTGGTTGCAACGAGGCGTTTTTGCAACGTGGCCTGGGACGATAGCCTGGGTAGTTGGTCGAAATACGATTGGCCACGTTTTCGAGCGGATTAGCAGTTAAGAAATTAACGGTGTCGCGGTGTGGTGGAGGCGTTCGGAAGCGCACGGTGCACGAAAGGCAAAATTGCCGCGACCCATGGCTTCCTAGCGTTTCCTGTCGATTGAAATACGCCACTCGGCCGTCCGTACCGTCCACCGTTCTACGCTTCCAGTGGCAAACCTATTGATTATCCGCCCGCGTTCCCGCCTCGCTGTCCATTTGCAGGCTGATTCATTATAATTGCAGCGTCGAAATGCTCGGCTACGCTCGATGTGCACGTCGTTCCGTCCGCTTTCGAGCCTCCATTCGACCCGATCCCAATTTCCAACGATCGTCCGTTCCGTGTGTCAACCTGTTCCGCTCGTGATTCCCGTTTCTTGCTGTTCGTCCGTTGATCATCCATCAACGATGACCCGGTAATTGCCCTCATAAGTAGCAATGTTTCCACTCTTCTAAGAGGCAACTTGACTAATCCCTCCCATAAAATTCCTTCCCTCTGTCGGGAACAGAGTTTGCCAAAATGTGGATCTCATAATCGTTTGACAGTGATCGTTAGTCGTAACGGGGCTCTCGTTAATTTCGCCCGGCAGAACGAACATGGGATGCGTCGAACTCTCAGGACATTTTTTCGATTATTAACGAGGTGGTTTGGTCCGGTCAGCCGGGCGTGCGAACCGGGTCAATGAATAGTTATGAATAATATATTTATGCGATTTTTGCATGGAGAGTTGGAACGAGCGATTTCGACGCAACGATGACCCACATTCTTGTCCGATTAAACACGCCGAGTCGCAGCGTCAAATTTATTACGGAAACACCGAACTGGCTGTGTTTTGCCTTGGCGAATATTTACGCTGAATATTGACATCGTTATCGCTGGAATCGCGACAGAATCGCCATTGTTGCCGCGCTTAATCTCATTCGCGAATGTAAATTTAAGATACCGCTTGGACCGCGCGTTGTTTCCGCGAGTTGGCTCGCTCGAAAAAGCGAACCGTTTGGCTGAGACTAATTGGAGCTCGACAAACATGAACGCGGTTCGCGTATATGCGTGATTATCGATTCTATTGGTAAATTTTATTCGAAACAATTCGCGTTGGAGCTTGACACGCTGTCGTAAATTTTGGGAACTTTTCGGAGAGGGTAACAAACGATATCGATGATCCGATCTTTCGCTTGGAATGCGCTGGAATTTCGTCGGGAAATGTATTCCAAGATAATCAGAGGCCATTCAAGAGGAAAACCGGGACCGTCCATTCCCGGCCGGAAATCATAACGGGAGATCTTCCTGTTTCGTTGATTTTGCCGGAAAGTTAGCAAAGTTAATTTCGTTTCATAATTGAAACTTCTATCTAACCGAAGTTTGTACCAAGCCGAAGGGCCAGTTTCTTTTATCGCTTAATAACGTCGAGTCGGATGGACTTGGATCATAAAGATCGTAATTCGCGTGGAACTAACGCGCCAGTTCCGACGCCCAAATTAACCGAAACCACCGTCGAGTAATTGACATCGCAGTTTTGTTTCGATCTCGAAACACGGAGCAAATGCCGTTCGCGTCGGTACTTTGTTACACGCATCAGCTGTGCAGCATCTCGTCAGTAATTTGTTAATGCGATGCAGCGTTGATAAAGGGAGGCGTTTCGCTGTAGCGACGCGGGATCACCGTCGACGACGACTCCTTCGAGCGTGAGGGCAACCGGTTCGAGCAATCGCACCGCGACGTCGAGGCTAATTACGCCAGCTTCCACGATCTGCCGGAAATTACCTTTCCCGTGGGACACGTTGCGCTCTCCTAATCCTACGCGATCATTAACGAGACTCTAACGCCGCGCGACGACAGCGCAAGAAGCTCACCTTTGCCGAGCTTCGTTTATCCTTTGGTTTGCTCCACTTTTCCATACCAGTCAATCCTGCTCGCTTACTCTCGGATAAAACGTTTTCTAACATGTCCTGAACGTGTTCCGAAATCGGCTGACTACAATTTCAGAACTTTCGGAGACTTTGAAGTTCTCGAACTTCGACTCGAAATTTCAGGTATTAAAATTCTCGAACTTTGAGACTCCGAATATTCTATTTTGCCTTCGAGTATTTTGCTTCTTTGACTGTATAATTTATGTCATAATGAATAATGGAGGGAGCAATTTGCTAGGAGGCGCAAACATGTTCAATCATTAGCGATTTAACGATGTTGTATCTACGCTGTCCCTTACCGGCTCTTATCTGGCCTGTTCCGTTGTTCTTTTTGTTTCCACTTTCCTGTTCCTCTGTCGGCATGCATTCGAGGCATTGTTAGCGCGCGGCCGAGCTCCCTTTTATCTCCTCTCCTGTTATTCGCTTTCCTCCAGTCTGGTCCCGTTTCGCGTTCCTTTTCTCCTTTTGTCTTTATCCACTCGCGATAACGACGTTCCGTTAGTATCAAATTGATCAGAGGAGGCGAGCCTTAACGACCCCTACGCGTGTCACGATTTACCCGGGCGTGGTCGAGTTTCGTTTCATCGACGACCTCTTTTCCGCGATTTCGAGCATGTCAGATTTTATCTTTGACACGCACCGATAAATTGCGCCGTGTTCTCGGATTTTTCTGATCAAAGGAAAACACCTGATCATCCCTCGTAGTCATCGATAAATCACTCCCTTATATAACGCGATAAAATGGGGCTATTAAATAATGGTGGTAATAATTCAAAGAAGAATTAAGCTATTATTTATATCGCGCGATAAGCACCTCCAGATATAATAAAGAGGGATTGCGGAGATAAAGAGGATTTCAAGTTCGATTCCCGATGCCAGGATTCCTATTTTTCACGGATTTTACAATATTATCCGTATCGGTTACAACGGGCGTTTTATCCAACAGTAAGCTTCCGGTTTTCATATCGAAACGAGTATCGTTCGAGATCGCGTGAAGTGCGGTTGAAAAACAAAGTCAGTAAAATAATCTACACCGATCAACGTCACCGGACGACACTCGACGCAGAAAAACAACGAGCTACGCCAACAATATTTTATTCGAAACCTATATTTACAAGTAGCCGTAATTTGCCGATCCGAGTCACCGACTTTGGTATGCGAGGAACAGGAAACTCGATCCGGCGTCCAGGTACAGGAAGTACATAAATCGATCGCCCACGAAAACGTCAGTATCCTTCGTCTTCGTTGTACGAAGCGGCGTAATCGTGTGGCTGTTGTTCCTGTTGCGCCGCAACTTCGTGATCGTGAACCCTAGGCTGGCCTTGACCAGGGTGCATACCAACGGAGTGGTCATTCTTGCCGGAAGTGTGCACCACAGCATGAAATCCGTCCTTGTCGGCGCGGTAGCTGACGGTTCGGATGCTGCCTCCTGGCTCCTTCACGCTGTATGATCCGGACACGCTGTTTCCTGCGAACGACTATAGCATTAATCCCTTGCACTATGATGTTTTTGTCAAATGCGTCAGTCAAAACTAACCAATTTCAGCTATAAGATGAAAACAGACACAGAAACTTGAAATGTTATGTGAATTGGTATCATGCAATCGTTCACTGTGCAAATTATAGTTGGACTCCAAATTGAAATCTAATCAAAATTCGAGTAAAATTGGTCATAGGTGAAGTATGAATGCGTCATCAGACTCGTCAAAATAGTGTAAGAAGTTAATACCGCAGGACCAATTTGAGAGACATAAGTGAAGAAGCTTGAATAATCGTTCTCATCTAAATTTGTCTTATAAGAGTTCTTTACCGTCCCTCGACTCCTTCTGAGAGTGAAAATCTCCAGTATGCTGATCCTCCACGCCATAAGAGAACTCGTACTTCGGATGAGCCACGTAGTCCACCGTGTAAGCGTCTTGACCGTGCAAGTGATTGTCATCGTGATGCACCGCGTATGGGACTTTCACTTCGAACTCGGGGCCCTCGACCGGCCCGTGAAACTGCACGTACGAGCTGGCTAGCGGACCCTGTTGAACGGCTTCGTCGAGTGTTTCTTGTTGCCCGTGAAAAACGTCTTCCAGCGGTATCACGCCGCCTCGTGATCGATGGCTCACGGCCAGCGCGATGGTCAAGGCGATGGTCACCTGCAAAAAGTCACCTTTCGAAATATCTCTTGTGTCTTCTTGGGGAACCTGGAAGATTAACTGGTACTCTTGAATAGGTTAGGGTACAAGTAGCTTTATGCATGAATTTCTTTTTCGCTCCGAAGGTAGCTTTGGTTCTAGATGATTTGCTTTGAGGAAGACTTGCTTCTTTAGTTCTAGATGTTCTTTTTGTTGCTTGGATAATTAATTAAACGATGTTATGTGCAGAAGACTTCTGGTCAACGAGATTGAAAAACAGTAAATGTCCACATGGAGCTAGTGTTTCATAATTAAATATGATACAAAGAGTGATAGATATACGTGTTGAAAGATAGAAGCAGTACAAGTATGTTGATACAACTGCCGAAGCGCTACAAATTCTAGCATTCGATTCTCGAACGTAATTTTTCACTGATCGATCCACTTGAGCATACGGAACTGACAGAATTATTTAGTGCCGGATAATTAAAATTTAATCGGTGTTAAAGGAAATCGATTCGCGAGTTATAATGCTCATCGAGTAATTGAAAATTACGAATTACCAAAGGAAAGTCGAGAACGCGAATCACCGCGGAAGAATCGATTACGAGGAATTCAATACGAGAGCTCGTTCTCGTAATTATGGCACACACCGAAGTTGTATCGGGATTGAACCGCGAGGAGAGCAATCGAATACATGCTACAGCGACAAATTGAATTTCGCCTAGGAGAAACGAAAACGAGATAGGAGAGGGGCGGGGAGTCTGAGACGTCCCAGTTTTAATTACACCGACAGAGCGGAATCGTTGACTTCCGCTTCGAAAACGGGACGCGAGTCGGTCGATTATACGAGCCAATAAAAGTTCCGCGGTTCCTCGTCGATTGAAATTCGATTCTTGTTGTTTCTGGCGTACGTGTTACACTTTGTTGTCCCGTTTACAGTGGCAAATAGAAATTATTGAAAACGCTGAACCGTAAGGCACCGATAGGGATATTAAAAAACAAAGACTGTACGTGAACGGGAATAAAACGAAATACGGTTTCGAGCACACATACAAGTTTAACGATAACTCCATTTACGAAGAGAAACGAATGGCAGATAATGTTCCATTTACAACGTTTCCAGAGTTATAGATTTTAATTGTAACCGTGATATTTCAATTTAAAAAATTTTTTTTGAAATACAGGACTTGTCCTTCCGGGGAAAATCATTTAAACTTTCTCTTTTCGTTTCTCTTCGTATCCTCCGATACTGTACCTTGATCCTCATCTTTCCCATTACGGTATTTTAAGGCGGCCAGGTGAGAACTGCAACTTTCCAGCGTGTTTTCTAGGCTTTTATACCAGCGGGAGATGCGTTGTAAACACACGTGAATCCCTGAGTCGCGGTCACCGTACGTGAGCGCCACGTGCGTGAATTTCGCTCGGACGCGGTCAACCTGACCCCCTCCGCCTCCGCTTTACGATCTTTCCCGTCTGAGGTTATTACGTTTCTACCGGTTTCTGGGGATTTTAACTGCACTTTCGTTTTTTCATAAAGAAAGCCATCTCTCTCGAGAAGAGGTTTTAAGTGCAGCGACATTGTTACGAATCGGGAGCTTTCGAACGATAGCTTACCGAGACTTCTGGCGAGCAGTCATCGACTGATCATCATTGAAAGTTATCGACTAATCTCGGTCTTAGCGGCTTCCTCGCTTTTCAGAAGGCGACACGGAGCGGCTTCTTTCCTTTTCAGAAGCCTAGTGTCGCTGGGCGACACCCGGCACGAATAATCCGCTTACCGCGTTCGAGCCAGGATTTATTTGGATTCTTAACCCTTCGGGAGACGCGGGGTTCAATCGAGTCGGATCTGCTTTAAATGTTTCGATCTGACAGTTCTTCACCTGAAAAACCTCTCGTCTCAGACTTGTTTCGCTTCTAATCACCTTTTATCGATTCAAATCTTCGAATTCCTCTTTTCACGAAGCTTAACGTAATTGAAAACAAATATGCATAATTATAATTTATTCATACCACGGTTTATTCGATAGGGAAGTTGCTGTCTGAAACTGGCGCTCATTAATTCGATTCAAGTATTTTATGGCATAATTCGTTTCGTACAGACGTTAATTTCCTCGTCGTTTCTGATTATTCGCGGTATAATTGGGAGGGCTGAGAAGTTTGAAATCTTCGCTACGGGAACAACTTGCTCGAAGTATCTTCAGACGACGAGGTTGTGAGATCAAAAGCACTGATTTTCTGCAGTCGCTGCGACTAACAGGTAGACCGGAAAACACGAAGGAAACAGGAAGAACGAAACTCCAGGGTAAAGGGTTACGCGTCTACTGTCGGGTATTTACAGAAGTTTCCTTTGAAGCGACGGCTGATCAGAAAAATAATAATTTCATGTTTCAAATCTCGTTCCAATTCCTCCACATAAAAGACTTTCTGCTTAAGATTTTTTCAATTACTGTAATATTAAAATAAATAAACTTGAGATGTTACACTTTGAATTTTCTTGTACAAATTGTAACTAGTATTAAAAAAACGTAAAGACTTATTTTTGTTATAAACTATGGTGTCGGTAAGCTAAGGGGTTAAATCCTCTGATGTTTAACGCGGTTAGATATTGGTATCGTATGAATTGGCAAACGAACCAGTATAGGCATCAAATAAACGAATTTGATCCCGATTATTCCATGCAGGAAAGTTTCGGGCTGTGCCAAGTCGCTGATGCACCGACTTCCAGGTAAAGTACATAAAGACGGTGTTTTCATGAAGCGGAGCCAAACGGAAGTTGGCTGGTGTTCGAAAGAAATCTCTACTTTTCTCTCGTCCACGATAAAAACGTTATTGAACGGTTTTTTGTCGGTGTCACTGGGCGACACCCGGCACGAATAATCCGCTTACCGCGTTCGAGCCAGGATTTATTTGGATTCTTAACCCTTCGGGAGACGCGGGGTTCAATCGAGTCGGATCTGCTTTAAATGTTTCGATCTGACAGTTCTTCACCTGAAAAACCTCTCGTCTCAGACTTGTTTCGCTTCTAATCACCTTTTATCGATTCAAATCTTCGAATTCCTCTTTTCACGAAGCTTAACGTAATTGAAAACAAATATGCATAATTATAATTTATTCATACCACGGTTTATTCGATAGGGAAGTTGCTGTCTGAAACTGGCGCTCATTAATTCGATTCAAGTATTTTATGGCATAATTCGTTTCGTACAGACGTTAATTTCCTCGTCGTTTCTGATTATTCGCGGTATAATTGGGAGGGCTGAGAAGTTTGAAATCTTCGCTACGGGAACAACTTGCTCGAAGTATCTTCAGACGACGAGGTTGTGAGATCAAAAGCACTGATTTTCTGCAGTCGCTGCGACTAACAGGTAGACCGGAAAACACGAAGGAAACAGGAAGAACGAAACTCCAGGGTAAAGGGTTACGCGTCTACTGTCGGGTATTTACAGAAGTTTCCTTTGAAGCGACGGCTGATCAGAAAAATAATAATTTCATGTTTCAAATCTCGTTCCAATTCCTCCACATAAAAGACTTTCTGCTTAAGATTTTTTCAATTACTGTAATATTAAAATAAATAAACTTGAGATGTTACACTTTGAATTTTCTTGTACAAATTGTAACTAGTATTAAAAAAACGTAAAGACTTATTTTTGTTATAAACTATGGTGTCGGTAAGCTAAGGGGTTAAATCCTCTGATGTTTAACGCGGTTAGATATTGGTATCGTATGAATTGGCAAACGAACCAGTATAGGCATCAAATAAACGAATTTGATCCCGATTATTCCATGCAGGAAAGTTTCGGGCTGTGCCAAGTCGCTGATGCACCGACTTCCAGGTAAAGTACATAAAGACGGTGTTTTCATGAAGCGGAGCCAAACGGAAGTTGGCTGGTGTTCGAAAGAAATCTCTACTTTTCTCTCGTCCACGATAAAAACGTTATTGAACGGTTTTTTGTCGGTGTCAAGCTTATGATCGTGGAATAATCTTCTCCCTTATCATCCAGCACGTGCCTCCGCTGTTTAGTCGGCCATATCGACCGACGCGTATAACGCAACTCTTTGTGAGTACGAATGAAAACAGTTCATTATACCAGCGACAAAAAGAAAAGCAAACGAACGCCAATACCATGATCGTACGAAACAAAGAGCAGGTTTTCGTTGTTGTTTGTCAGCCTCGAAACGTTAATTGATTCGCTTTGTGAATAGTTCGGTTGCGCGCGGACTTTAAAGCATTATTATTTATCGAGTTTTAGCGAGAACACACGAGAATGTCTCGAATATAAACTGCGTCAAACGATTGTTTGTCCCTGGCGAACGCCGGGGATTCGATTCACTTTATATTTACTCTGTACGCCGTAAATTATTCCGGCGATTCAAAGCAAATCTTTGACAGGCCAATTACAACACCGGTTTTCCCTTCGAATTAATCCTATAGCCGTGGCTATTATATTCTCACGGTTCGATACAAGTCTCAGCTGAAAGCGCTCAATCCATAAAGGAATCAAATTGTCAAAGGAAATTCTTTGATTCTACAAGTAAATCGAATACTTGTATCATACGTAGAGCTTCGATTAAACGTGTTTGCGTAGTCGCACTTGCGGCCATTTTCTTTGCTTACGGCCATCTTATGTATCTTTGCGGCCATCTTGTTCATCGGACTCACCTCTCAAAATTCAACTCTATATATTGCTGTGTAATCTAATAAAATGTTTGAGATGCTAATGCAAACAAAATGGTCGTGCGACGCTAAGTTGAAAAACGGTACGTGAGGAAATAAGACGTTACGTTTACCGAGACACCCGAGATCGAATAAGGTTTTACGGAAAGATGTAGGAAGTAGAATCTGAACGTTTCGATCATCGTGTACGAACAACGATGCTTTTCTTCGTTGCGAACAGAGTAGATACGATGCCAGTCACGTTGCTCTTATATCTGTGATACGTGTATGTTAAAAGCATCGTCTTTTTATCTGATCCTTTATGGAGGATAATATGGTGCGCCGCTGGAAATAAAAGGAGCGTGATGAAATTCGAAAAGATCACATAAGCTAAATAGAAAAGTAACTTTAAAATTTCCCCTGTTACAGTATCTTCTTCGTGAAATTATTGTGTCTTCTCCACTTTTGCAAATATAGAAATAATCGAAAAAGTACGCCAATAAAATCGACCGTGTTAATATAAAATTGCAATCCGTGCATTCTCCAATTGTCGGATATTTATTTAACATAAGTTATGGGTGGAAATACGTTCGATTGGTCATCGGAAGTTGCAAATAGAGTCGGTACGCCGAAGAATCCGTAAAATTTGGTGGGTGCCGATTCGAGCTATCGGTACACGATAACTCGTTTCACCGAACATCTGTTTACCGAAGGGAATACGATCGACGGGCTGTCTAGCAGAAGAGAAACGATGACTCTGCGAATTCCTTCGATGCCTCTGCTTTCATACTGGAAGCTTCTGTAAAGCGCATCGAGTGCAAACTGCGGCAGACAGTCTGATCTGGGTCAAGCCTACGGTATTGTCGGATTGTTTCACGATTAAATGAATACGCGAAGATAGAAAACAGAGTGAGTGGAGTTTCTCCGTGTATCTTGATCCTACCTTCCGTCTAATTGCCACGAGCTGATCAAATATTGCTCCGATCCCTCGCTTAAAGATATATATCGCTTTGCATGTTACAGTTTCTAGGTTACGTTCGATTCGCTTATTTTGTACGATTAATGGCAGAAAAAGTTCGCGTTGTTCGACTTGAACCCTCTCGATAAAACGTTCGAACAATGGCAGGGAACGAAGGCCGCCAAGCTGTAGCGGCATTCAACGCTCATTGTCCTCGACTAGTCGGCTGGCTCAATTAAAATTCTCGGCGAAATTTCTCATTTAGTCGAAACACTTGCTCAGCGGACGTCGCGCGACGAATGGAATTTCGAGCCATTTTTCTCCGGCCGTTACACCGCTGCTCCTTTACCCCGCGACGATAAAGAAAACGCGATTCCGACCATTCTTTTCGCGTTATTGCGGTTGTGCTGCGTTTCGAAACACAGGAAGGCAATGAAACGTTAAAAATGCACGGCTATTAAGAGCCAATGTGCCAGGATACCGTTTCATTTGCATCCACGTTGCATTTACGTTGAGAGCTCGACGCTGTCTGCCAAGGATCCAGATATAAGTCATTACGAAGCACTGATCAAAATTTTAATGCTCCAGAACAGCAAACCATTCGCAACGATGTTTGATCCTTGTATTTCTGAACGAATAGATCATGCCTTTACATTATGTACAC